GCCCCGGTGGCATACAGCACCCGACAGCACCCGCCAGCGCCTCAAACACGGGCAATGGGACGAGGGTGCCCACACTACTGACAGCGGGACTGGGACACAGGAGCCTGGCTGCTCCGATGGGTTCACATGCCTGAAGCAAGGACAGGTTCGGCTCTACTGTTTTTAACAAACCATACCGGTTTGTATGAAGTAATTTCTGAAGCCCTTCTTGTTCTGTTGTCAGTTACGATAGGGAGGCAGGAGCAGCCCCTTCTGGCGTGTCTAAAAGGCAGCTAGTATCTCAAGGGAACCAAGTGTTGGTCACGCACAGAACACAGGTGGAACATAGCATGTCAAGGGCAGAGGATGTTTTTATCTTTACTTCTTTATACTGTAAGGTACCTCTGAAGCAAATTAGCGTATGCTTAGAAGAAACTACATCTCAGAACATAACTTGAAAACTTTTACAGCCTTGAGAAATGCAACTCTAAGAATAATTTTGCCATGAATCATCTGTGTATTTACCCCTGACTTCTCCCTGCCCCATAATTTGGGCCACACAGTCACATCCAGCATCACTCAGGCTTAAGGAAGCAAGTCAAGAAGACTCTGAAACTCATTCTTTCCTCTCTTAATGAAATCATCAGCGCTCTGTCTGATCTTCTGGATCTCTGGGTCTTTACCCCGCTCCTCTTCACTCTGTTGGAACAGTAACCATGGAGCTGTTAGGACCTGAAGTAGGTGGGTTTCATTTAGGAATCTGTGGAGCAGCGTTAAGTTCCTGGCTACCCCCATATGTCCAAGCCATGTCTTTCCAAGGCAGGAGGACTGCCCGTTTTACCCAGCTTACCAGGGGCGCCAGGTGCTCTGCGCAGAGGTAGACCTCCTTCCCCAAGAGCTGGAGTCCTATCTCCAAGAACTCAGCGAGGCTCTCGGCAACCTTATGCAACGCTTCTTCCTCGTACGCGTAAACCCCACCACCCTCCGCCAGCAGGATGACGAGCTGCTGCCCTGTGGCCAGACAGGGCACGTTGTCCACCGTGCCGACCACCACCATCCTGGCGGGCTGCGGCAGGTAGAGGTTCTCGCAGCACTCCAGCAGGTAATCCTGCCCCTCGTGGAACGTCCCCTCCAGGCCGCCGACCCGCAGGGAGAAGCTGGGCTGCATCTTAAAGGGAATTATCTGGCCTTTGTGTTTTTCTACATTACCAGAAACCTTTTCAAGGCTGAGGTCTGAGGGGGGGAAAAAACAAACATATATAAGAAAAAAACCCAGAAACCGATATCCTGAGGCAGCCACCTCATCGCGCCCCGCTGACCCCTCTCGGCTCACGCCGCCT